GGATCATTTTGATTTTCAACTGCAAGGACACTGATACTGTGCATGTTTTTTTTTTCCAGAGACATAAGAAAAATAACTCTGTTATTAGTGAAACACACTGTGCAAGATAGTCAGTAAATCAACAGCAGTCAGTGGCTAATGTGGATTTTTAGCTGCACAAAAACTGATATTGTGCATGTTTTTTGTTTTTTTCCCTCCCAGAGCGATAAGAGAAGTAAACCTGTTATTGTGATACAGTCCACTAACAGTGGAAGTGATAAAAGATTGTCAGTAAAGTTCTCTTTTTGGCAACAATTTCAGCAAATTTTCAATTCAAAAACGTCAGATTGTAAGCCTGATAACTGGTCACAAGGTTACTGTACATTTTAATTTATAGTGACAGTTAAAATTAAAAGCAACCAGTGGCTAATTCAGATTTTTAACTTTAATATTATTCTAGAGTGATATGTAAAAATAAATCTGTTAGTAGCAATACACTCCACTAACAACAGAAATTGCTAGAGTTATTTAGTAAAGCTCTTTTAGCAACTATTTTGCCACATTTTCAACGAAAAATTGTTTAAAGTTCAATAGCTGGTCAGTAATCTACTATGTATTTGATTTTATAGTCACACGTAAAATCACAAGCTTCTAATTTAGATTTTTAACTCTAAGGACACTGATATGCAGTTTTTTGTGTAAATTTGGAAAAAGAAATAAATCGTTTTTTGTTTTTTGGTGATACACTTGCACTAACAATTGAAATGGTAAGAGATACTCCGAAAAGCTCTTTAATGTGCATTTATTTTGGTACATTTCCAATAAAAAACTACAGATTGGATGTCAAATGGCTGGTAACTGTACAAAAACATGCCATAGTTATAACAAATAAACTTGATCATTGTGGTACAGACCACTAACAGTGAAAATGAAGAGAGATATTTAGTAAATCCCTCTTTTTTTGCCTCTATTTTGGCACATTTTCAAATGCAAAACTACTGATTTTGAGTAGCTGCCCTCACACAACCCCCATAATAAAGCGTCATAATAAAGATCATCTGAGGTTAGAAACTGAGCGAGTGTCTCCCATCAAGCTGTCATTTACCTCCACAACGCGTCTCAACTACCTTCTTTCGCCGGTATTTATTTCAGTGTGAAGTTCACAGTAACTGATACGGGTTGGCTGTGGAAGATTTCAATGGGCTGGATATATCTGGATGACATTAACCCTGAACCGTGCGAGAGTGCGGAGCGGAGAGAAAGAGGCGCAGAGGGGGAGGCAGGACGGCGCACTGGAATTGCACTAACAAGTTACTATTGCGCAAGTGATCGGGCGAATTATGAAACTCTGAACTTGCGGCAAGCATGACAGCGTGACTGGATACCGATTAAATTAGGTAAAGTTTCATCCATTCATTCATTCATTCATATTTTTTGTAGCGGCGGTTTCATGGTGGGACGCTCTGCTTCCACTGCACCGCCGGCTAATGTTAGGTAGCCACATATTACTGTTAGCTACTAACTAGCTAGCTTAGTAACCGGACTTGTTAGCTAAGTCCGCCTCGCTGCTTCTAGTACGACTACAAAGAGGGCATTACCAAGCGGAGTTAGATGGTTTAATTTAACCTGCTTGTCTGTTAGTAATTACTGCTGTTGTTTCTCAGAGTGAAATCTATTTTACAGCGCACGCCTGTATGGAGATGCTAGCAATCATTAGCATTGCTAACTTGCGTGCACATCAGCTACAAACACGGGACGGGGGGGCTACCTAACAAAATGCTAGCGAACAAATGCTAAACGTGACCTGACAGCTGCTCGTTACAGTTAAACCGACTTTAAAGAATATGTTATAGTTGTGCGTTAACGTTTAATTTAGAGTTTATTACAGCTAATTAGCCACCAACGGCTAGTTACATTGGAAGTGGTTACACGTGCCCAGTACGCGTGTAGCTTGACAGCAGATTTAAAGCAGCGCAGCCAAGACGGTTCGCGATTATTATTATTTTTTGGGGTTAAATGTTGTGATTTATTTGCCCGAAAACCACTAGTTTCGAACTTGTCTGACAAAACGAGCACCCAGCCTTTTCTTCTCACCCAGTTGCTATTTAAGAAACAGACGGAGGCTGTTTAACTCTGTCGGGAAACAGTTTTTTTGTTGGCCTTTAACTCATAATTCAATTAAAGTGGGTGAACAAGCAGTGCACAGTTCCCTTGGTTTTCACAAGTTCTTATCTCCCTGGATTTTACAACTTTGAAACTTGGAGCTACACAGTTGTATTTTTTCATTAGGAGTTTATTTCAGTTTCATTTTTAACATTTCCCTGCAGTGAGGTTTCATGAGAAGTGTTCAAAGGCTTTTATTGTCTTGTGCACCAAAAAGGAAGTAGTTAATAAACTCTTAGTGCAGTGATTCACCTGGTTACACAATGCGTATTGTGTAGGTAGACAATGTTCAATATTGAGAGAACAGTGCAAAAAAGAATATGCACACAAATACAGTATTAATAAAAAAGCTATGTGCAAATAGTGCAAAAGGTCAAGATGTGCATTTACAGTCATGCAAAGATTGCACTGAGATGCATTGTCTCCTTGGGTATGAATTTCTGTACAGCGGCCCAGAAATCCTCAATCTAATTTGTAGCAAAATGTATTTTAAAACGGAAAATATGTGCATATTAGAATTGCAATGATTAATTGATTAGAGAACCCGTCACAATTATAAACATCCATTTCTATACACCAGTCTATCACAGGGCTACACTTAGAGACAGACAACCAAGCACACCCACATTCACACCTACAGACAATTTAGAATCACCAATTAACCTCAACATGTTTTTGGACTGTGTGGGAGGAAGCCGGAGAACCCGGAGAGAACATGCAAACTCCACGCAGAAAGATTCCGGTGCCCCCACTGGGACGCGAACCGGCAACCTTCTTGCTGCGAGGCAACAGTGCTACCAACTGCGCCACCTTGCATCCCACAATTATAAACCGAGAAGTCAAATTCTTTGATTCCAGCGACTTCAATTTTAATATATTCTGATTTCTTTGCTCCTCTACAACAGTAAACTGAATCTCTTTGGCTTGTGGGCAATCGAACACGTTTGTAATCTTGGGCTTTGTGAAACACTGATTTAAAATTTTCACCGTTTTCTGCCATTTTATCAACCGAACAAGGAATTAATCAGCCTACAGATGATCAGCTCTAAATCTAAATTTGAATGTTTTACAACAGACTGTAAATTTGCAGTCTTTGGTTAAATCACATAGCTGCAAAACTCAAACTTTAAAGAGAATTTGGTGATAAAAAAAAAGGTACTTTTAAAGATTCTTTTGTCACATACAAACGCTCACCTTTCCCTTGCATTTGCCATCTTTTGAAAATACAGATTTGTTACAATTTTCTGACATTTTATAGATATAATCAAAAAAATGATTCAACAATGGACATAATCACTTTAACTGTGTAATCATTATACTTGACTACTGTTATCAGCGATGCGTGTGAAAAGTTAGTGAAGTACCTATAAATCTGTTTTATGATGGAGTGTCTTGATCAACAAATGTTCTCCCCAACATTTGCCTCATTTAAATGTCGAGCACATGGGCACATGAGGCACCATTTGCTGAGAACATGCATGAAATATTGAGCACAATTCAAAACAGACAATCTTTAACTGCTGCAGAACAAAAAGAAAAAAAGTCTTCGTGTTAATTTAGCCAAATAGGCCACAAACCCATGTCCTGTGCAAATCAAGCCTCTCTAGTTAGACTTTTGTCATTTTTTTTCTCATCCAAAGACTTCCACATTCTCACCCTTGTAGCTTTAGAAAATTTACACATGAAGACAAACTTTTTAAATGGCCACAGGTCATGTGATTGACGTGGCCAATCAGACGGTCTGCATTACAACACTGCTGAGTGAATGGGAGAAGCGTGGACAATGAAGCCACCCTTGGGGCAGAGAGTAGCTTCTCTTTCCTTTTTGCCATTTGTTTTATTGATACGTGGGAGGATTTTTAAGGCTGTCTAGCATCATTTCAGCCAAATAAAAGTAGGATTTTTATTTTTTCCGCTCTCTCTTCAGTCCACAGATACCAGATGAGTGTTTTGCAGAAAACACTGGACTCAGCGCTGCACTGATGATTTGAACACAAGTTTGTCGGTGAGTTCTTTCAGGTTTCCCCAATTTACTCTGCATGATTATCATTTTTGTGGACACTGTGTGGCTTTATGATGTTTATACAATTCACAGTTTATAGCTCAAAGTTGAGTTTGTCCAACTACATACTAAAGCAGCAGTGGATCTGGTTTTTCCCTCCCTCTTGTTTGAAGAGCATGTTTGTATAGAAAGTCCTCGGGGCCTCTCTGTGTGTGGCTGGCACAACCTTTAGCCACAAGGATGGGAGACTCATCCTCCTTTTGTCATTCAATTGGCCTCTTTGTCATTCGCTTAATTCATAAGTGGCCTTTGTGCTAACATGCGCATTAAAAGCACCACGGCAGACACAAGTTTGCTCTGCTCTCCTTCACTCTCCATTCTGTGTCTTGCATTTGTTTACCAGCAGCACACGTAGGCTCGCTTCATTTCACGGCATGGCTTGCTTGTGCAGCACGGTGACCTTAGTGTGTACGCTCTACTGACTTGGCTGGATTTCCTACGTTCTGCAGCTCTCCAGTTGCTCTGGTTTCTGTAAGCGGGCAGTTGGGTGGCTTTTGACCGTGTTTAGAGAGTTTCACCATCCTGAGCTGAGGAATAATAAACATGACGGTGGCCAATGCAAAGTCTGGCTCAGGTAAGCCGCCCGAGTCCTAACTAGCATTTTGCACAGAAACTGTTGCCGTGTTGACATTTTAATTACCATCTGAATGGCTGCTGCGGCCCTCTGTCCACAGACGAGTGGGTGCTGCTGCTTGTGCTTTTGCATGAAAAACGGCCGAATGTTTTGTATTCTTCCATTGTGGTGAAAATGACTTCAGCCACTGATTCTGTCAGGCTTCAATTTCTGTCTACCGCTATTTGCAAAATGTCTGCCGCGAGTAAACAAAAGAGAATTGTTGACAAGTTTGTTTTAATGGAGAGATAATTACAGGGAAGCACAAAAAAAGGGGAGATTATTCACTTTACTTTGTTTAGCAGGCTGATTAATGAAATCAAAAGCTGTAATTTCCCCATGAATTGGGTCTCATTTTCTTGCTCTGTCTAAGCCACTACCACATAGATCTGCGAGTAGAACAATTCCTTTGTGGCTCTGCGTGCTTGTTGTTGCTGCTGCTGCAATGGAAATGAGGGGTGATGTTTGTGAATTGGCCCATTGATTCACTGTCCACTTGTTTTTGCATTGTAAGATTTTTTTTTGTTTTTTTTCATCAGTGTTTTCATTGGCTTGGAATTTTAATTCTATTCATCACTGCGTTGTTTGTCGCTACCATTTCTGCTCGGATTCACTTAGCAGTAAACTTCAAATAGAGGAAAAGACGTTGGGTTTGCCAAATCCTTGATGCGTATTTACTCTTCTTCAGCCATGCAGCAGGTACTGGACAACCTCAAAGACCTGCCAACAGGCACAGGAGCCAAAGATATTGACCTCATCTTCCTCAGAGGCATCATGGAGAGCCCCATCGTCCGATCCCTTGCCAAGGTACAGTAACGCTCACCGACACTACTACTACTACTGTGTGTGTGCTGTGCTTAGAAATGCATTCACACATACAGTGAATTGTAATCTCATTAGCTGGCCTTCTAGCTATACTCGAGGAGGAGCTTAGCATGAGTCAAAGGAAATTAAGGTGTAATTTACACGGCACTTCGAAGATCATGTTTAACTCTATCTGACAGCTGTACGAAATGGAATTCACACGCCCTGTGCTTATTTGTGTGCTCTATGGGCCAGCATGTGTACCTGCAAACAAACCGTGCATCCCTTCCCTACATTAGCTAATCCTGCTGCGAGGTTGAAATTACATGCAGGAAATCTCCCAGTCGATGTACAACCCCGTCCGTCATCCGAGGAGTAACATAATCAAAGCTGCGCAGGGTTGTACAGCAGCACGCCGTGTGGTTTTCATTTGATCACCAAATAATAATCCATAACATCCCTCAAAGTTGTGTTTGTGTACACAGAGAACGTCGGCGAAATCAGCGTAACACACAACTAAAAGAGGCCGACAGCATGACGAACAAATGGCTTACATAACATTATCCAGAAAAAATCTCCCCTGCAGATTGAGGTCATCAAGTTCAACCACCATATCTATAAATAGAATGCTTTTTTATAGAAAACCTGCCACAAAGACGGGCTCTTGTCCTCATTTCTAACAAATAGATTACAGCTTGGTCGAGGTGTTGGGTGTTTTACGTAGATATGTCATATCAAATGGAACAATATGAATGAGGTCATATTCACTGTATTTACTGTACTGTTAATTTTCCTTCCTCTTTTTGTGTCACAGTTTGACTGAATTGTTAAGCCATTAATAATTCAAATAAAATGAACAATGACACATTGTGTTTGAACACAACAGAAACAGTTGCTCTATAACTGGAGGATTAGGAGGATGATCTACTTCCCCATCTGCTAAAAATATGACGGGAGCTTTTTTTTTTTTTGTGCTACTTTCATATTTTTACTGACTGTTGGCTCAGTTTTATTTGCAATATAGCATCTTGTGTGGGAGCAGCATCAGCATGGCTACAACTAGGGAGAACTCTAAAGTGTCTTTTGCGCAGTATAACAAAAAATAAAGAAATAAATAAATCAGTGCCATAAATGATCAAAAAGAAAAAAAAAACAGAAGTTCATTTAAAATTTTACAAAAATGAAAAAAACTGCGTCCAAAGGTTTTACCAATACTGAAAAATAGTGGCTCTACATACTGTAGATATTTTATTTCCTATTTTACAACCTCTGCAAATGACATGTTTTTCACACTACTCTGCAGATCGACTCTAGAAACATGTTTCACTGCACAGAATGTACCTTCCAACAACTTGCTCTTCTGTTTGCCGTTTTTAACCCATAGTTTTTAGCAGCATTAATACTCAGATTTATGTAAAAAAAATTACAAATCTTATTAATGAAATCCTCAAAACTGTAACATGTTTGTATCAACACGGAAGATTTTCAGTCGATAAGCTCAGATTCAGGTTCAGATCGGCATTTACATCCCATAATAATCACTATTACACTGGTTTTCCATGCTGCATTTATTTTTATTGGTCACGTATGATATATTTAGCTGTCAGTCTCTTTAATTTGTTTTCATATTGGTCTCATCTCTGCTCTGTGTGAACACAGCCTGCAGTTAAGCTGAGAAGTCCCTGATTTATTGTTTTTGTCACATGACTGCTGGTCGTAACTGAGTCACTCAGAGCTTCTCAGATGCACTTAGGAGTTCTTAGGAGTTAGGAGATAATTGATGTGTTTCATTCGGATGATATATTTTTGATGAATTTTTAAATCATACATGTAGAATAAAAGGATTTCGTTGAAATAGCACAATTTTAGGCATAGATTTGGTGGATTTTTCTTGAGGGAATCAAACGTCACACCTGATGATGTCAAGGACAGCCGATAAGTTGAAAATATAATCAGTGTTTACAGTTTCTTCCTGTAATAAATACTGTAATGTCTTTCTAAAAACAAGCCTTTTAAACCTGCTGACAGCTTTTGGGGTTCTGAGGGTTACATTTTTCTTAACGTAAGAATTTCTCAGCTGACTTTCTAGAAATGTGCTATACATAGTCTGCATTGAGGTGTAAAATTACCACTGGGATCCTTTTTGCACCTTGTTGTTGAGTTCTGTCTCTCTGTCTGGTTGGTTGGACAAAACAGAACCAAGCCCACTTTGTGCTCAGTATAGGTGGGGGAGGAATTCACTGGGAAGAGCTTTACATATTATCAGGTTGTCGAACAAGTTTGGAGTCACTCAAATTTAAGAAGAAAAGAACAAGTCAGACGAGTGGTGTGGCAATAAGAAAGGGAATGTTGTGGAGTGAAAATTACAGTCATTTTGAGTACGGTAGCTGTAATTATTCCGTGACTAGTCAGAGTTTTTATTCCAGATATGTTACATCATTCTGACTAGTTTGAGATATCTGTGATTCACTTTGAACTACTTGAACTGCGGATATCTCAGAGGCCATTGTGATTTGTCTAAACTGTTGTGTGCGCTGCTGCTCATGTGAGGCAGCTGGATATTGGTACAACGAAGAGTTCAAACAATGTTAATGCAGATAAGATGGTTTGAAAATGCCACGAAATCAGAAGCGCCCCTCAGTGAGGAGTTTGTAGAGAAGGAGAGCTTTGTTCATTTGTGACTTGTGATCAAAATTTGAAAGAACTCTGGCCTCAGGCTGCTCTGACATGGCGGTAAAACAGCTCGTCGTACGCGGTCGCTGTGGCATAAGACGTTTGAAAAGCAAGCTGCCTCCACCTCCAGCTTTCTGACGTTAGGTCAAAACCCTAATTCGAGATATCTGTGACTATATTTTGACCAGTTTGAGATATCTACAACCAACTAGTTTTAACTTAATTTAGGTTACCTAAAAGGACAATGTAGATGTGTTGAATTCAGGCAATCAAAGATATCTTTACCTACAATTCGGACTAGTTGGAATTAAACTGTAGGCATCTGAAACTAACGTTAGAAGTCATAATTCACATTGCAGACATCGAAAGCTGATTTGTAGGTATCTGTAATAAGAAACCACTTACACATGAATGGTGATAGTGACGCCATTTGCCCCAGGAAGCATGGCATTGTGGATATCTGAAATGTTCTTTTGACAAGGAAGAATTTAAGAGCAGATGTCTACAATACATATCCAGTCTCACTTTCAAATTGGAAAACAGCTTGCCACAAACGCACACGTAACAGAGTTGACAGTGTTCTTACTCTGTCATGTTCTTATTTTTTGGTGCGTTCAGGCTCACGAACGTCTCGAGGAAGTTAAGCTGCAAGCCGTTCGGGACGATAACGTTCAGCTGGTCACAGAGATCTTGGATTCCCTCAACATCCTGCCTGAAAAAGATGCCTCCGCTGCTGAGCTCGTCAGAATCCTCCAGGAGCCTCACTTTAAGGTATCTGAGGCCTTTTTGCCCTCATCCTCAGTTGTTACTGGGTTTATTGGGGGGGTGCGGAGAGTAAATGGTTGAGCATGTGTTTTACTCGTGGGAATGAATGTCAGAGCTTTTTTGCTCCCACCACGGCCTAATTTTCTCTGAAGTGCCTGTCTGGCAGCACTGCTTCCTTGTCACCCTTTATATTCTCAACCCCTTGCGTGCTGCAGCAACAGAGGGTGGGGGTGTCTTTCCTTGGGCCAATAGCAGGCTGAGTTATGTGGGTAAAGTCACGGGGAGAAGACTGTCACGCACGGTTTCAGCAAATCTTCACATTTGCTGATGCAGTTTGTAGTCTCTAACCAGAGCTGACTGTATTCGGCGGCTGCCAGGGTAAGAACAACACTGATTTATCCTCCGCGTTTATCAGTTCGTCTTCTGTCGGAGCTGCCACGAAGGCGTCTCTCCGTACAGAAATGAAAAAATGATTTATGTCTTCGCTCTGTCAGAGGGATTTATTGAATGCATGTTGCAGTTCCAGTCACTGTTTGTGGTATTCTGGTGGGTGAATGACATCGTGTCTGATTGTCATCAGAAAAAAACTGTTGGAAATTTACTCCACTGTGTCTTTGAGTTTAAAGACTGAGCTTAATCCTACTGTTTGTATTTCTCTCTCTTGTTCTGTTTCAGTCTTTGATTGAGGCTCATGATAAAGTGGCTGCAAAGTGCTACGAAATGCCCCATGCTGCGGTTAACAGCAATTCTTTGTTGACAAGCACACTCATGCCAGCCGATGCCGTCAGGATGATCGGTATCCAGAAGAAAGCTGGAGAACCGCTGGTAAGTTCACCCGGCATTTCTATCAACTACAGCTCTACAGAGGAAACACGCCTGATAGGCTGTAAAGTGCTTTACACATGTCCTCTTTTATTGACCATCTGTTCGACCCAAGTCTTGCATAGTAACTCAACATGGATGAGTTCTTTTACAGCAGCCGGACAGGCCAACCCATGAAACAGGCCTCTCCTCTGATTTATGAAGTGCGGATGTTCAGTACTTACTGGCTCTTACTCTCTTTCAGGGGGTGACGTTCCGAGTGGTGCAGGGGGAGATGGTGATCGCTCGGATCCTGCACGGCAGCTCGATTGACAGGCAGGGCATGTTGCACACGGGGGACATAATCCGCGAGGTGAACGGCCGCGAGGTCGGCAGCAACCCCAACGAGCTCCAGGAGCTGCTGAGGGACTGCAACGGCAGCATCACGCTCAAGGTCCTGCCGAGCTACAAGGACACGCCAGCACCGCCACAGGTGAGGGGGAAAAGGGAGGCTTCATGTTAGGTTATCTGCGAGTAAGTAATAATCATGTTAAACTAGAAAATTCATGCATTCAGTGATGCATTGTCACTGAATCGGTGCCGTCAATGTCAAAGAATTTATATTGACATGGTTTATTGGTATTCGGTAGAGTATTCAAGACTTGTACTGTACCTCTCAGGGATTGGGTAAGAGCTGCCTGACCTGGCCGATCTCAGAATGCCAGGCTTCTGAAAACTGAACCCACGGAGGCTCTATTAATAAACACTCCACACACTAAGTAGGACATACGCCACTCCATTCAGTGGAGCAGCCCCTCTCCTCCTTACTGTAACAGGCACACGCAGCAGCTGACACTGAGCAGCAGTATGTAAGGTTATGTCAGACACTGACCTTAGTGTGCTGAGCGGGATCCAATGGGCTCTTTCGACTGTTTTGCTACGTGCTCGTTGGTTTCCAGTTGTGAATGCTCACGTTGATGTTTGGACTCCTAAAGTTACATCTGGTCCACCTCGTTCAACCTCGCGTCTTTGAGAATTCACAGCGAGAACTAGAAAAGACAAAATTCCTAACAGAAAATGTAATCAGTGGAAAATAAAGACCTTGTCCTGAGAGAGCTGCTGAAGAATCATCATCTGTGGTGCCATAAAAAAGCAAAATGTCAAAAATTGCAGCTCTTAGGAAAGGGAACTTACTTGATAGGGGGAAAAAGGACATTTACTTTCACCTATTATAGTTTAACGTTTACTTTAAAATGTTCGTTTGTTCTACAACCTGATGATTAAAAAAGCTCAGATATGTTCAATTATTAGACTTCTGAGGGACTGTAAGTGTTGTTGTCTGCTGTTGTGAGTGAATGTATTTATTAATAGTCTAATATCTTGTTCAAACCTTAAATCGCAGGTTTATCTTAAGCCACACTTCAACTATAACCCGGCCACAGACAACCTGATCCCCTGTAAAGAGGCAGGCCTGGCCTTCTTCAAAGGCGACATACTTCACGTAGTCAACAAAGAGGACCCCAACTGGTGGCAGGTGAGTCGATGCATATTGCTCAGCGATGGTGAAACACACCTTAGCTAGACGTTAGCGGATTGGAAATGTGTATTTTTACTTTTCACATTTTGTTTTGCGCAATAAAACAAAGCAGCAGAAACAACAAAAGCAGAGTTAGTGTGCAGAGCAGATTGAAAAACCTCGTCAAACCTCAAAATTAGCAAACAACAGATAAATAAAATATTATAATGTGCTTTATATAGGTATATAAATGTGTATGCTTGTACATGAAAGTGTTAGCACATATATACTAAAGCACACTTGTCTATTTAACCCCTTGTGAAAGAGGGAGAAAGGTCAGTTACAGTCGGGTATGATCAGTTGGGATTGTAAAAGTTGATTCATCAGACAGGTTGTAAGGCTGTATTTCATATCGATGTTTGAAATTTGAATCTTCCATAACTGAGCCCCCTTAAATGTAATAGAAAATGAATGGAACATTGGAAGGTGTAACTGTTGGGTATGTTTTGTATTACGTACATGACTGTTAAGCTGGAAAAAAAATCTTTACAAGGCACCTGAAGCAGAGCAGGCAAATTTAAAAATCAGAAAATGAAAACACAAGTTTAAAAAGATGCGCTGATGAGATGAGTAGCCTCCCAAATTATATTGCAAATCCATAAAGTACAGATTTATTAGGGTATAATAAAGAGTTAATAAACAATTCTGATGAACCAACCATTGTCACTAGATATTGCATACAAAATATCAGTCCTCCAGGTTTGAGTTTGATCAATCAAGAGAAATCATTTTATCTGCTGTGAAAACTGCAGAGGCTGCTACAGATGAGGAGGAAGAGGATTCTGACAGATGTGGTGTTCTGTTTCTATGTGAAATATTTAAACTAATATCATCTCTCCATCTCTGATTTTTATATAGGCTCGCAAAGTTGTTGGTGGAGCCACTGGTCTCATCCCCAGTCAGTTCTTGGAAGAGAAGAGGAAAGCTTTTGTGAGAAGGGACTGGGACACTTCTGGTACAGGTCAGTACAAACCACATCCGTTCTTCTCGCTCTCATTGTACCAGCTGCTCTTGTTTAGTTTTTATCATAGTCACAAATCTGGAGCCTTTAGCACCACCATGTGGTGTACTGACACCTTGTGTTTGTGGTTCAGGGATGCTCTGCGGGACTCGAAATGCAAAGAAAAAGAAGAAAAAAATGATGTACCTCACTGCCAAGAATGCAGGTATGTATTACCACTGGTTCTAGTGTTCCTAGTTATCAAATAAATGACAGTGACGCTATGATTCTTATTGAGCCTGTGTGTTGCCTTCAACAGAGTTTGATCGCTATGAGCTGCAGATCTATGAGGAGGTAGCAAAGATGCCCCCGTTCCAGAGGAAAACACTGGTTCTGATTGGAGCTCAGGGTGTCGGAAGGCGAAGCCTGAAGAACAGACTTATCGTCCTGAATCCTCTGAGATATGGAACCACTGTCCCCTGTGAGTGTGTAAGAAGACAGCTGAGCAGTTGAATTAACCGTAGTTGGTTTCCTGTAACACCTGTCCTTACCTTTTACCTGCAGTTACGTCACGCCGTGCCAGAGAGGAGGAGAAAGATGGCCAGAACTACTGTTTCGTGACGCGGGAAGAGATGGAGAAGGACATCAAGGAGAGCCGTTACTTGGAGCACGGCGAGTACGATGGAAACCTTTACGGCACCAAGATCGACTCCATCCACGAAGTGGTGGACGCTGGCCGTACCTGCATCCTGGACGTCAACCCTCAGGTCAGTTAAAGGCACATCAGGGCTGCACCATGCATCGTTTCAGCATCGACATCGTGGTTGCATCTTTTTTTTGGTACTTGACGCAGAAATAAAATCTTGCATAGTTGCCATTTGCCAAGTTTTTTAACAACTTGACAAAGGGTTTTTGATGTGCAGGCTCCACACATGCACAGTAAAATTAGTGGAGGAGGAAGATTTGATGGCAAAAAAAGATGCTGTGTCAGTTATAGGACTGTATAACTAATGGAATGTTAATCACCTTTCACGGTTTAGGCTTCTCACAATTAAATGAACACAGTAAGCTGCGATATTAAAATACTTTGCTCATAGAAAACAATCCACTTAGTTTCAATGCAGTCAAATCATTAGAATGTCTCTTTTCAAAGAAATTTTGGTCTAACGTCTGTCGGAGTTGCTACACTAAGCAGAGACTAGAGGCTTCTGTGTTCATGGTGCTGCAGCTGACTTGCTTTCTTCTATTGTTGACTGCATGTGAAGCGTTTGGAGGATGTCGGTAATTTGTAGCTTTCTTTTGTAAATGAGAAAACCAATGAGGCTTCGTGGGTACAATTTATTCACATTTTGCCTCTAGGAGATGCACTGAAATTAGGTAAAAAATATTTTAAGCCTAATTTTGAGGCAGATTTGTTCGCTAGCAGGAATGTAGCACAACACTGCAAGTGAAAGCTTGTTGCTAAGACCAAAAACTGAGGCAACAGTATGTCTGAACACTAAAATCAGCACCACAAAGCTTTAGAGGATGAATGCAAAGGTCAATGTCATCCAAGCAAAAAATATATAGATACTCAGTGCCTTTGCCAGATGCACTCACTCTCTCACTCTCATCACATTTTAGTCACGTATGATTTGTAGATAACTGAAAAGTCACTAGGTCAGTTTCTTCCCATATCATGCAGCCCTGAGGCACACACACTATGTATGGATGTGTTTTTTCTAAAGTTGTGATTGTGAGATAACATTTTTTTTTTTTAATGCAGGCCCTAAAAGTGTTGAAGACTGCTGAGTTTATGCCATTCGTGGTGTTCATTGCTGCTCCTGAACTGGACACACTAAGAGCTATGCACAAAGCTGTGGTAGATGCTGGACTTACTACCAAACTACTCACAGTAAGTTTTCAGAAGATTTCCAAATGCATATACAGGCATAAACAGAAGTTTACATACAAGAGCATGTCTATGATGGCTGTCTTGAGTTTCCAGTGACTCCTTTAACTCCTAATTTTCTGTGATGGAATCATTGGAAGACATGCCTCTTTGTCAACAATCAAAAAAACAACATTTGATTCTGTTTGTGGCTGAGTCTGATGAGTGCATCAAATAGGCCCAGAGGACTCAGCAGCTGTAGTCAGTCATAATCACTCATGACAAATTAAGAGGTTATGCAACTAAGGCCACGTTTACACATACCCGGGTGTTTACAGAAACAGATCTACGTTATCAAAGATAACACTGTTTACACAAATCCAAATAAACAAGAGCTGCTATGAGCATGCCAAACCTATAGGAGGCAGGGAAACAAGAAGCATAAAGCCATGCCAGCCAATCAGAATCCTGGAAAAAAACACAACAACTAATGGCACAAATTACTTTCTGTTACTTCACCGATAATGGCGTGAGGGTCGTTCGTTTGGACCGACAGAGAAGTGGAGCTTCACTACGGAGAACATTTCTGAATGTAAATGCAAACAGGCCAGAAGCGTTGGCACAAACGTAAAAACAAGCACTGCTTCAACCGCATCCTTTTTTGACGATTATGACAGCAGCCAAACTGTAAACATGGGTTGCACACATATGACGCTTTTGTTGCATATTGTGCTGTTGAACTCCTCCTGTCTGCATGCAATGAGAGTTTTCCAAAATCTCCACTTTGGCCAGAGTTTTCAGAAATGATCGTTTTCGGCGACTCGTAGCTTCGTTTATGTGTAAACCAAAGGCATTGAAATATCACCGTTTTTGCTACGTGTAAACAGGGCCTAAGAAAATTCGATGAACTATCACCAAAGCTGATGTTTCCAGTTGCTGTATATCTATTTTTGGCACAACAGATTAGTCATATTTCCAGAAGACCTATACTGAATTGAAGGAGTCACTGGAAAGTCACGACTGCCATGCAAGTGTATGTAAACTTTTGTTCACGACTGTAAATCACGATGGGAGTTTAAGTGGTTATTACTCCCAAATAATTGTTTCTTTAATCATATTAATGGGCTGAATGCCTCGTCTTTTACAGGAGAACGATTTAAAGAAAACTGTGGATGAGAGCGCCAGGATCCGCCGGGCGTACAGCCACTACTTTGATCTGACAATTGTCAATGACAATCTGGACAAGGCCTTTGACAAGCTGCAGGAGACGGTGGAGCGGCTATTCATCGAGCCACAGTGGGTTCCAGTCAGCTGGGTCTACTGATGTTTTACCCCCTACTGGACAGACGCCGCCGTTCGAGCTGCCAGGCCTGGGATGAAAGGGGATTCAACACCGAGCTGCACACTGACAAAGTGTTGGACATCGGCCCTGTGTGAACTGGGTCTCGCACAAAGCTGCATCAGAGTCACCTTGATCTGAACTGCCAGATTCCTTTCTAGCACACTATGCAACTCACAACACACGGGAAGTGTACTTATTTATTGGCAAGTATTTTTTAAAGAATATTTTCTATTCAAACACATTGGAAGACAACGCTGGCCCTCGCGTCAGATTGTTCCGAAAGCAAACGCGGTCTTTTGCCATGTCCTGTTTTAATTTTACATCTGTATGTAAGATAGGTAAATTGTATTTATTCTGAGAAAATGAGGGCTTGCTCATTGAAAAGGACGATACCTCAGTGTTACAGTTTACAGTGCATATGCGTCCAGTACTTCATCTCATTTCGTCACTACAAACTTGTTGTCGTTCATGTAGATTAGAGTCATATTGTTGAGACCTTTGTCCTCCTGAAGGCAACATTTACGCCCCTACGTCTTCTTAACCTCAACTTCACGAAAAGGAAACTGTTGTACAGGGAGAAAAACGTAATACTGTAGTGTTTACCCGTTAATTCTCTTTCTCTCAAGAACAGACATTGATTATGCTGATTGTTTGTCGGACGTTTGGATCATGTAACTGTTTCTGACTGTTAGACCAGTCGACTTGGTGCTGTGTTTGTGTTTGAACGAAAAACTTTCCACAGGACTCTGGAACAGGGTACTGCATCTCAGTGAACCATCCCTTTTGATGTGATAATACTAAAACTTAACAGTTTTAAAATAAAGTCGATATTTACTTATAAAGAAAGAAAAAAAAAAAAAGGTATATTTTACAAGATTTCAGATAAGATGTATTTTCAGATGTCAAATAAATAACTGGTGTTTTCTAATCGTCAGCTTTGGATTTTGTTTTTTGGAGCGAAAAGAGACAAAATGGTTACAACAATCTGAGGTGGTTTTATTGTCTAGATTTTTCTTTTTGCATCGTAGAAATAAACATACAACTTAAGTGGAAACAATTTACAATAATAACATTGTTTACTGAGGCACAATAAAATCAACGGCACCAGAAGTTTAAATATTCATAAACCAATTTGCTCAAGTGCATCAAAATGAGGTTGTGGTTGGAACATTAAAAAGAATAATCTCTTTGGAGGAAGTGCTTCAATTTGGGATGCAAAAATGCAACATTTTTAAATTGATTACAGCAATATTAAATAGGAAAAAAAAAGTAAGACAAGTTTTTACAATCTAAACCCACAAACTGTGAAGGAGAACAAATCCATTAGCAAGGCCTTCAGGGATCAGACATTACATTAGACCACCGATATCAAAAGTTAGTGTTTGTGTTACAAAGTGAGAGGGTTAGGTTAAGTCTCTGTGACACTGACACAATAATACTATCATATATACTGATGACAAATGTTATTACATTAAAAAAAAAATGAGATGCTTTTTAAAGACACCAGGCACATTTATGTCTTGTATGTAGGGCTGCAACTAAAGTTTATTTTCATTATCGATGAATAGATTAGTTGTTTGGTCTATAAAGTGTCAGAAAAGTACCCAAAAAGCAGTCTTTTTTTGTTGAAATATATCCAGTGTACTCTCAAATATTCAAGTTTAAGAAGCTGGAATCAGAGAAA